ATAATAAATAGTAATGATCTTAGATTATATTGATCTTTTCATAATAAAAAAAAAGCTGCTACTTAAAATTTTTTTAAGCAGACAAAAAAATGATTTGCATATAAAAGAGACTGGAAAATTTTTTTTTACCATAGATAATATAAAGATAAATCTCGTAACTTTGTAAATATTGTAAGAATAGTAATTAAAATTTTTTGATAAAAGAATAAATACAACCCATGCATCTAAAAAAGGGAGACAAAGTTTTTATATATAAATCATATTTAACTATATTTAATAACCGATCACAATATTAGGTGACCATATATCGATATATAGTTTTGATTTACTTAGTACACCGAGTAGCAATGTGAACTGTAAATTACAGTACATATAAATAAACTATAGTTTATTTTAAAACTACAGTTAACTACAGTTTTACAATAAACTACAGTTTATTTATATTAACTAATAGTTTACAGAGCATCTCTATGATACCGAGCTCTCCAAGCTGTTATGTGTCATACAGTCATGCAAGTTCAGTCATCGCTCTATACTTTTTATGGGTTTCTGAATTAAGTTGCTTATATAATATATGTTACTTTACTTTTATAGATTTCTGAATTTAGTTATAGTTTCTGAAATCAGCCCTCTGAATATACAACAATTTGTTTACGTTTTTCTTTGATTATTCAAAATAATTACAGTACTTTCTACATTTCTTGCAAAATAATTATTAAGTATAAATAACACATTTTTCTGTGTCTTTAATTTTCTAAACATTAAAATATCTAATACATCTACATCTCAAAATATCGATTTTCCTTGCGATTCCATAGGACATAAGACCTCTTATCAACGTCTTCTCCGGTCTGTGCAAAATCAAAGATATTACCGTTATCATAAGAATGACATCTTGGCTTGTCATCATTTTCTTCGTGCTTGCATCGAGCAACTTGAAATGTTTATTAAAGAAAATAGATTGGTTCCTCCTAATCCTCTTGCATATTCTTGACCAAGTTCCAATATTTCTCAAACACTCTTCCTTTCTTCTGGCATGATGATTTGCTGTGATTACAGAAAACAGCTTAATAATAGAATACCGCAGAATATACAAATACCACAAAATTTAAAGAAATCACATAATGCCAGAATTAAGCAAATAAGGTAAAACACAGCAGCTTCTCTATGAATGCCAAAATCTTTCATTTGGGTAATTTTAATTCACAATATCACATAACATGCATTCGGTTTTAGGTTAAGGCCAGTCTGTTTAATTATGATATGTTTATCTTTCATCTAATTCTTTAAAAACATTTATGTATATTTTTAATGGAAATAAAATTCTTTTGTTTTTTTATTAAATAAAGTATATTTGCATATTTTATGTTTTAAACATATTAAATCACAGAATTAACACTAAACTGTAGAGTTACACAACAACTAACTTTATAACAAAATATCTTTTTTTTGAGAAAAAGCTCTTTTCATATGTACGTATATATATACTGAATTCAGTACAATAACTCAGTTGCATTTTTGATATGTAGAAAGGATGCTTGTACGTGTTGAATTTATGTAATGTCCCTATTAGGATATTTGTGTAAAAAAAGTCATGCTGTAATTGGTCTAATACTTGTGCTGAATTCAGTATAATAATTCACAATATGACTGTTGAGATGAAAATTATAGTCTAATAAACATTCATTTTTTGTTCTCTCCCTTTTTACCTTCATTTGTATTTTTTATTAAGGTGACATTGTTATTATTTAATTAAATCGTTAATCATTATCTTCTTTTACTATGACTTTAATTAAGCTCCATCATCACTAAACTAAAAATGACTTCTAAAAATACTGATTCTGCAGTCTGTGTCGAAGAGCGCCGTCATCTTAAAAGTATGAAGAATAAAGAATATTACAAAAAATATAAGGATAAATATCACGAAAAGCGATTAAAAAAAGGCTTTAGAGGATCAATATATACGAAAACGTGTTAAGCAACTTGAAACTTATTGCAAAGAAAAGGGATTATCACCACCTCCACTTTCAGATTCTGAGCATTTGCACAGTTCTTCTGATTTTCATATATATACACCTGGAGCTTTTTCTAATCTTCCAA